TTTCGGTAGTAGTTTTTAGTAAGAGTTTTTTGTTTTTACAGCACTTGCAACACAATAAGGTCATTTTCGTGTTGAAGATTAGAGGTGTTACAAAAGAGTAACGAACACAAAAAAGAAAGTAGAGATAAAAATGATAGATATTTGATAAAAAAAGAAAGAGTGAGCAAACCACACACACCAAAGCATCCGTCAGCCACCCATAAATTCCTCAAGAGTAGCATACAAAGAAAAGAAGGAGGAGAGACGAGGTCGATAGATGTTTGATAGGAAAGGAGTGAGAAAACCACACCAGAGCACCTGCCAACCACCCACGTGCCAGGATTCAATCACCCACAAAAAACAACTGAGCGAATAGAGACTGCCCTGTGTACAGTCATCCACTCACATACACACAGACACAGTCACACACACACACAGACTCACAGTCACACACACATACACAAACACACAAAAACACACATTCAAACACGCAAACATGCACACACACACACATACAGAGTCACACACACACACACATTCACATGCACATAGTCATACACACACTCACACACACACACACTCACACACACACATTCACACACACACGCATTCACACGCACACACAGTCACACACACACACATTCACAGTCACACACACACCGTTCACACACACACAAGCACACACCAGTATTCCACTTCACGTTTCACCACTGCTTTGCAAGTGTTCTCTTGCTTATTTTCACTCAAATATATCCTGCAAGCACTACCCAATGGCAAGGTCAAATATTATTATAATACCACGTGAGCACTGCGCACTATTGGACAAACACTGCAGCTCATGTCAAACACGCCCGTACAACCTTCCTCCACAGACTCAACGTACGGGAAACATTCCGGACAGGATTTGAATCCATCACTTTACGGTTGTGAGTCTGAGAGCCTTACCTTACCACTAGGCCACCAACACCACAGCATACAGACAAATAATTTTTAAAAAGTGTCTCTATAAGTCTATATGTGTCTAAAACATCTAACAAGTGGGGATAAAAAAAAGTGGACTGATCGCGCACGTCTTCAGTAGACACCGTATAATTAATCTTTACAGACAATCGCAATATTATGGCACTACAATAGGAACTTACACAGGTGAACATAAGAGATGGGGCTGGGGAAGGGGTGGGGGGGGGGGGGGGGAAGGGGTATCTCATATATATATATATATATATGACATGTCATCAAAATGGACATCTATGGACTACCCGTATTCTTGGCCCCTGGGCTACCACGTAGAAATAAGGGCCTTTGTGTTATGACTGGATGCTTCCTCCATCTTGCCATGACAGTCTCAAAAAAGTGTTTCTATTTCTAGCCTGTCTTACATATTGCCCGAGTATGGAAACTTCTGTCAAATTCCATGACCATTCTTTGTTTCTAAAAAGATTCTCCCTGAGCGTATTCTTTCTTTCTTTTTTGTTTTCAAAGCAAAATATCAGATTTCGTAAGCAGAGTATTAAACATTCCTATATAATATACGTAAATTCCTAACTCTACAATACAAAATTACTTACATTTCATATTGATGAAAGAAACGACTATTTTCCCAGTAGATACGACCACACATTTCCATACAAATTCAAGCACTAAAAGCGACGTAAAACAAAGCGAAAGAGACAAGGCGCTTTAAGTTTATGCTTCAAAGTCAACTCAAAGTCGGGACAAATGTGACATCATCTTCTGTCCGAATGATGCAAGACCCTCTGGTACTTGGATGGATGAATGGATAAATGTGGTACTGATGGAGGGATGGATGGATGGATGGATCATGGATGGATAAACGTGGTATGTATGAGCAGATAAGTGGACAAGCATGGTATGGACGAGTGGATGAAAGTGAAAGGAAAAAACGTGGCAACGGATGTGTGGATGAGTGAGACAACAAGCATGATATGGACAAGGAGATGAGACGAAAAAAACGTGGAACGGACGAGTGGATGAGTAAATAAACATGATACGGATGAGTGGATGAGTGAGACAACAAGCATGGCATGGACGAGTGGATGAGTGGAAAAAACGTGGAACGGACGAGTGGAAGAGTGAATAAACATGATACGGATGAGTTAATGAGTGAGACAACAAGCATGATATGGATGAGTGGATGAGAGGAAAAAACGTGGAACGGACGAGTGGATGAGTGAATAAATCAATGCGGTAGGGATGAGTAGACAGGTGGACAATCATGGCGGCATGGATGCGGATAAACTTGATCTGGAAGGATGGACAAACCTGGCGAACGGATAAGTTGAGGATGGGACTGTGATCACAGACAATAGACCAGGTTCAAACGTCCCGAGCGTGGCACACAGTATATTATTGTACAAAGCTCTTATTATCACACACCACAGCAAAAAAAAAAAAAAAGCACTTCTCCGTTTAAATCCAGCACACACAATAACTCATGAGAAGCGCAGCACACACGCATGTACTTCACAGACATCACCTCGCGACCTTAGTGCTTTCTTGTCATATCTCCATTATTTTAAACAGTGAAAATGTGACATCTTCTTAAGCGCACTCTTTGTTATGAACTGTTTTCACTGTTATTAAAAATGGAGATAGGACAAGAAAGCGCTGGGGTCGCGATCTGTTGAGAGCAGCGGGGGAGGATCAATGGTAAGTGCAGGAGTCTTTGTTTTTGTAACAGTTTTACAGCATTTGCAGCACAATTAGGTCACAATAAGTGCAGAAGATCAGAGGTGTTACAAGAAAGTAACGACAAAGGAAAAAAAAAAAAGAGCGAAGAGATAAGGACTGTATATGTTTGATATGAGAGAAAGGGCAAACCACACCAGAGCACCTGCCAACCACCTACGCTCAGCAGTCCAGAGCTATTGTCTCGACACAAAACGTTCTCATCTTCACAACAACTGCGCCGTATACAGACCTGCCAACTACTCCATTACAAAAAAAAAATAGTAGTCCTCCCCAAATATAAATATCCTCCTTAAACATTTAAGTTTTACACAAGAACCTCCCCCTCAAAATAGGAGTTTTACTCAACATCCTCCCCAAAAATAAGAGTTTTAATTACTAAAAATAGGAGTTTTACTCTAGAACCCCAGTAGATTAAGATTACATTACAAACCGACGGCGGAAAGTAAATTGGTATTGCAAATAAATGTGTATTTTCACATCATTTACAATAAGTGGATAAAAATATATTGCAATATAAACACAAATAAAATGTGTAGTTTTACACAATTTACCAGAAGTTGCATACCACCTGATGGAAACTTAATTCACAAAAAAAAAAAAAAAAAAAAAAAGATTTTACGTAAATCCGATCAGACTCGGAGGTTCTTCGACGGACACAAGAAAATACGCAGGCGCCAATTTTATCGGAATACTTGGCAGGAATCTATATACCAAGCTGGGACAATTGGCAGCATACGCGGCACAAAGTAATGGAAAAACAGCACACTTTACACAGTAAATGCATTAAAAAAAACATATTATGTGAGGAGTGCCGACAAAAATGAGTTACTTCTGGCAATCCACAAATGGAGATACTGGCCAAAAACTGACGCTATGGTCAAATTTGAAGATTTTCTATTGATGCCATATTCTTTAAGTATTTAAGTATAACAAGCCTTTTATTATTTCATACTTAAAAAATTGTGAAATCTTCACTTCTAAGCATGACGAATCTATTTCATACGCGGCTCAAATCCGAGAAGTAAATAATATTGTAAGCACCCTTCACATATGTCTTTGGTCAAGTTTCTGGAACCTTCACATATGTCTTTGGTTAAGTTTCTGGAAATCACAAGAGAAAATTTTCTTTTGCCATTGGTCCACATGGGTGCACACATAACATAACAGGCACAATAAATGCTGAAAACAACATGATAGTCAGCCCCCCCCCCCCCCCCCAGTACCCCAGTAGATGACCGGCTTGTGGTCAGCGAGCAGGTTGTGGTTAGACCCACAGTCATCACTATCTATCCGTGGGAGGTTGGCGGGTGCCCTGGTGTGTTTTATGCCTTATTTCCTGTCAAACGTCTATCGTTCTTACCTTTCCTCTTCCTTTTCTTTGTACTTTACTTTCTGGTAATAGGCCTACCTCTCATCTTCAGCACTTATACAACTTATTTGTGTTACAAGTGCAGTAAAACTCCTACAAAAACTTAAAATATTCTCTATCCCAGAGTAGCACTGAGGTTATAAGGCAGTCATGTCAGTGTTGCAGTGTGGTGTCAGTGACATAGTCTGTTTGGGTGTGTGAAGGAGAGCTGTAGGTGTCTAAATGGCTACAGAGTGATGTGTATCTTCAGGCAGTGGGATCAGGCGTTCATCAATTTTTGGGCCTTTGGAGCTTTTGGTATCATCTTGAAGCTTGTTAATTTCTCTAGTTCTTGGTAAAAAAAAACTACCCATCTATTTTGTTTAGTTTTTAGTAAGAGTTTTACAGCACTTGCAACACAATAAGGTCATCTAAGTGCCAAAGATTAGTCTAGAGGTGTTACAAGAGAGTAATAAATACAAGAAAGAAGGAGGAGAGATAGCGACGATAGATATTAGATAGGAAAGTAGAAGCAAACCACACCAGAGACCCGCCAACCACCCACACATCTAACTTGATTAGAAGTCAAGACACTTACGATTGAAGGACGTGGGGGTCGCCTGGCTTCAGGGGTAAAATTAGCAAGAAAAGGACCACAAGAAATTGGTGACGTTCAAAGCTTGAGGGTTCTTGGAAACTACAAATTTACAGTTTTTGTGCCAAAAATTAGGGGTGTTACTAGAGAGAGAAGGAAAAGAAGGTGAGGCAATAACAATGAAACAGGTTTCTTAGACTTAGTCAAATTTTCACGGCACTTGCAACACAATTCGGTTATATACGAGCCGAAGATTAGAGGTGTTACAAGAGAGTAACAAACACAAGAAAGAAGGATGGATAAGAACGATAGATATTTGATAAGAAAGAAGAAGCAAACCACACCACAGCACCCTCCAACCACCCACTGAGACAAGTTTACTAGGAAAGAAGGAGCCAATCACATCAGAACAACCCACTAACCACCCACTTATTTCCACAAAAAACCGTTCCCACTTGCAGCAAGAAACTCACAACAACAACAACAAAAGACACACTCATAAACAAACACAACGAGGCTGTTTTGTTCCCAGAGACTACCGTGCACTGACCTCTTGACCCTTTACACAAACCGCATGCTCTCTTCAACACGTAACAAATGGCACAAGTCATTTTTCCTTGATCTATGCAAAAATCATGCGCTCCCATTGACGCAAATAAAAAAGATTGGGTCATATTTCCTTGACCAACACACAAAAATCATACTCTCTCTTCAACGTAAATAAAAGGCTAAAGTCAATTTTCTTTGACTGTTACAAAAGTCATACACTTTCTTCAACGCAAACTAAAACGTTCAAGATATATTTTCTTGACCGATACAAAAGTCATACTCTCTTTTTAAACACAAACTAAAAAAAATTTAAGTCATGTTTCCTTGACTGTCACCAAAGTCATACACTTTCTTCAACACAAACAAAATGTTTCAAAGACATCTCCTGTTTAGAGATGAACAATAAGGGCGCTAAGCCACCACCCGTCAGTCCTTTAACGGTCGCCACCGCCAGCAAACCCTGTAACGGTCAGCTAAAGCCTGATCCAGGTCCTCCGACAGTGGTCAGTGACAAGCTAACCCAGAACTCCACACACACACACACCCGCACCCATCTACACCATCTACCAGTCTAGGAAATCATCCTGTGCATTATGTCTACCAACGCGCTGTTTATCAAAGCGTGTGCTATGTCTACAAATGAGTTGTTTGTCAAAGTGTGTGCTACGACTACCAAATGCGTCGTTTGTCAATGCATGTGCTATGACTACCAATGCACTCTTCCTCAATGCATGTGCTATGACTACCAATGCACTCTTCCTCAATGCATGTGCTATGACTAACAAAGGCTTGTTTGCCGATGCATACAATATTTCTATAAACGCATTGTTTGTCACTGCATGTGCTATGCCTACCAACGCATCCCTTGTCAATGCACATGCTATGACTACCAACGCATCCTTCGTAAATGCGTGTGTTACGTTCTACCAATGCGCCGTTTGTCAATGCGAGTAGTCCATGGTCTTGATGAACTCGACGGCCGAGGTGAGCTGCAGCCACCAGTACTGTTCCTCTCCGTGTAGCCGGCTCTCGTAGAAGCTGTTCACGTACTGGATGGTGGACAGGAGGTTGAAGGGGTTGGCCTTGATCAGCACGAAGATCAGGACGGGCATAAAGTCGTCCGCCGCAGGGACTGACTTCTCGTTGGCCATGCTCAGCAGGTTCATAATGGTCTGGGAGCACCGTAAAACACACTGGATCTTGTCCTTGGGGGTCTGTGGAGGTGGGGGGACGGATAGTGTAGTTTTAGTAAGAGTTTTACGGCACTTGCAGCACAATAAGGTCATAGTTTAGTTCTTGTGCTGAAGATTAGAGGTGTTACAAGAGAGTAACAAACACAAAAAAGAAGGAGGGGAGATAGGGACGATAGAATTTTTATAGGAAAGAAGGAGCAAACCACACCAGAGCACCCACCAACCACCCAAAATAAGGTCATAAAAGTGCCGAAGATTAGAGGTGTTACAAGAGAGTAACAAACACAAAAAAGAAGGAAGGGAGATAGAGACCATGGGAAAGAAGGATCAAACCACACCAGAGCATCTGTCAACCACCCACTGGGTTTAGAGAGAGAGTATTACTTTATATCAAACATTGGCTCTTGTCTTTGGGGGTCAATGGGGGGTGGGAAGGAGGGAAGGGGGAGAGGAGGGAGTGGGGAGAGGAGGGAGTGGGGAGAGACAGAGAGTTACTTTATACCAAATATTGGGTCTAGTCTTTGGGGGTATCTGGGGGGTGAGAAAGGGAGGGGAGAGGGGGGGGGGGTAGACAGAGACTGAGAAAATAACTTTATACCAAATACTGAATTGTGTTTTTGGAGGAAGGTGGGGATGGGAAGGATTGGGGGAGGGAGGCGTGCAAAATAGAGAGAGCTGTTTTATACCAAATATTGGGCCTTGTCTTTGGGCGTCTGTTGTGGGCTATGCATGGTACGAGGGGGAGGGGAGAGAGAGTTACTTTTTTCCAACATCGGAACTTTTCTTTGGAGTCTGTAAGGGTTGGGGCAGGAGCAGACAGATAGAAGGTTTTTTGGGGGTTTTTTTAAAAGCATTTTACAACAATTGCAACTTATGTAAGTGCTGAAGATTAGAGGTGCTGCAAGAGAGTAACAAACACAAAAAAAAGGAGGAGAGATTATCAAGACGATAGATGCTTTTTAATAGAAAAGAAGGAGCAAACCACACCAGAGCACCCGCCAACCACCCACTCTTGAGAGTTAAGGGTCTACTGAGAGCAAGAGTAGTGGGTGTAAAAATTTTTTTTAAAACTCTTTTTATCCTAGCCGTACGCCCACGGACTCTGTACCCAGTCCTGGGGCCGCCGCGCCGTATGAGTCAGAAGTCAGTGCGTATAGTTCAAAGTGCTGTATTTCTTACATTTACTCTAAGATTTTAAGGAAATTTGACAGTTATGTTAGAAATTGAATGTAGTTTTTAATTATGTAGGTGGTTAGAAAATACACCAATAGCACTATGTAGATTTTGAGGTGTATTCCACCCTCGAACTTGACCCTGATTGTCGCGCCCACGACGTCCCACTGGATTTTATAGATCTAGATCTAGCCCTACCCATTGAGCACGAATTCCAGTTCTGACCCTTTCACCATGATCAGAATCGCTATTAGATGAGTCTAAGTCCTGTTTCTTATCATCCACAACGGAATTTACGGCACTTATTTCAGAGTCACTTTCATCAAATTAGTATCATTCCCCCTCACAACCCAGCGCCACTTCAAAAAGTACTTCGTCGGTCGTGAATGTGCGTTTTCGAGACATCTTTCAGGCTTCTACACCCATCAAAAACAAGGAAACAACTGTTCATAGGAAAATTAAAATATTCAGACAGAGCTAGCATCGCCGTATTTGCGTATTTTGGTATTACAAGCAAAACTAGCTTCTTTGACGTGACCGTATGGCTGTTCCGAGTATACTCGTAGCCCGGATAAAAAGAGTTAAAAATCAATCAATCAATCAATAAATCAATTAATTAATCAATTAATTAAAAGATCTACTGAGAGCAAGAGTCATCATCATCATCCAGTGCCAAATCAGCGACAGACATCGGTGATCATGGTTTTCCATTCATTCCTTAGCTCGGTTTCTCTCAAAAAAGCTACGTTTCCCTGATATTTCCCTGTTACCCATTTGTTTAGGTTCCCCAAGTATGTTGTTCTGGTCCTACCCCTGCCTCGTTTTCCCTCAATTTTGCTAGTGAGAGCTAGATGTTCAAGACCCTTATGTCTATTCAGAGCAAGAGTGGGGGGTAAAAAATTTTTTTTTATAAATAAAAAGGTCTTTTAAAAAGTTTTAGCAAGTGTTTTAGGGCACTTGCAACACAATAAGGTCATATAAGTGCCGAAGATTAGATGCGTTACAACAGAGCAACAAACACAAAAAAGAAGGAGGGGAGATAAGACGATAGAATATTTGATGGGAAAGAAGAAGCAAACCACACCAGAGTACCGGCAGACCACCCACAAAAAGGTCTACTGAGAGCATGAGTAGAGGGGGGGAAAAAAAAAATCTTTAATAAATTTTAAAAAGCCAAGCCCAGGAAGAGCGTGGTACCCACCCTATATGCGTTGATCATGTAAATCTCCTTCTGTGCGGCGGGCCAGGGGCACTCAGCGTGGTACATGTGAGGGATGCGCAGGTCCTTGTGGGTCGGGCTCACCACTTTGCTCAGCTTACGCAGGTGTTCCTGCAGAAGTCTACACACAGCAGACAAAACCAGAGAGTCACAGAGTTTTAGTTTTAGTAAGAGTTTTACGGCACTAGCAACACAATAAGGTCATATAAGTTTTAGTATGAGTTTTACGGCACTTGCAACACAATAAGGTCATATAAGTTTTAGTAAGAGTTTTACGGCACTTGTAACACAATAAAGTGATGTAAGTGCAAAAAGATTAGGGATAAGGATGATAGATAATTGTTAAGAAAAAAGAGCAGACCACACCAGAGCACCCCCCAACCACCCACATAAGTGTTAAACCAGCCAGCCAATTTTTGCAGAGAATGAATCAACCACCCACACACTGAACACAATCATCACGGCCACATCGCAAGACCAACAAAGATAATGATAATAAAAGAGCACACTTGTATAGTGCAAATTCCTGCTCAACACCAAGCTCTATAATATGCTTTACAATCTATCTTATTACCCCAGCAGACCTGATGGCATTCTAAACCATTCTCAACTCCCTGGGAAGCATATAACGTAAGCTGCCATTTTACAGGCGCTCAAAAACTAACAAACTGAGTAAGTCTTTTGCAGTCTATGGCTGGACACCCAATCACACCTGGGTGAAGTGAGGAAAAATCGTGAAAAGCGCAATTCACAAGGGCACAACCTCCAGCCTAAGGCTTGATCCCCGACCCGCAACCTCATGATAGAGTCCGCCAGCGTAACCACTAAACTACCACGCCACAAGATTTAACCCTATCCGTACGCCCCAGGGTCATTTTGTACCCTCGGGACTGTATTCTTCACATTTTAAAATACTTCTAGCATGAAGATCTCTTTGAAACTTTCAGTATTTCTCAAAAAATGATTTTGACAGACTATGCAAAGCGTATGTATCGGATTAACGAGTAAATTTCCTCTTTGAAAAGTGGTGGCACAGAGTTCCCCATGTTGTATGGATACGATAGTAAAACACGATGTACAGATAGGATTAACACTTTGCCGCCTCATCCCCCAGATTGGCGATGTTTACCACCCAGTTTCTTTGGATTTTCTCCAAACTATGATGGCAAAGTGTTAAGTAACACGTACAGGGAGTGTCTGACTGGTCCAGCACTATATACCCG